AATGATTGTAATGAAGTTGTATTGTAGACTTTCTAATGTGGATCGCTAAGCTACATGATGTATCTATACTTCCACATGTCATGTGACCATGACAACCTATGTAGTTGGTCAACTTTAATTCCTTATCAAAGGTCGCGCGTCAGCTGTGGCTCAGCTGTACAGTAATAAGTGTAACATTTGCACTGTCTTATAATTTTATGTAAGGGGTAGGGGGATGATATATGCATTTATGCCGAACTTGTTGGACTCGTTAGTCTGAACAATACCTACTGGAAGACATCTACATCGGTAGTCACCAAACCCATCAATATACACATGTCTGATGCATTCCTGTATTTTATCATTCATTCACATCTAGGAATCGAGTTCCATAACGACCCCTTTATCTCTGTAAATGCGGCTCAGTAGGGCCGCCCCCCTGCTCTGTTTAATCCCTAATAATGGTTTACATTTTCCAGACACCCTTCCTATTCCTCCATCCGCCAATGTCGTGGTATATCATTTAGGCCTTTATGCCTCCGAGAATCACCACATCTACTAGGTATGAGCTAAGAGACAGCCTCCTTTATAATTAACCTCCGAAGGCTCAACACAATCGTAATTAAGTGGGTATCACGTAACAACTGCGGTGACGCTGGTACCAGCAACTCCTTCACTCCCGGGCATGGTTTGCTGTGCTGCTTCTACGAAGCTAGGCCGCCATCTTTGCAAGTACTTGGCAGCTATAGGTCTTGCGTCTTCATAGTCTGTCCAGATGTCCTGAATAGCATCTAGTGCGAGATCTCTTACGGGCGGGCGCATCATCACTAGGTAGTATAGGGTTGTGAGAGTAAGGTTTACCAAGCTTGGATCTCGACATAAGGTTCTAACTCGTGAAAAGATGGCCAGGTTGAGTTCGGGTAGCTCGCTTAGGAACCGTGTGAGCACCTTGTCTTGGGAATGGAGATAAGGAATGAATCCGTCTAGAAGACGTAGTGTCCATTTCTCGTAGTGAATGGGGATATCACTAGGGACAGGCGAAGATGACGCGGAACGCTCTTGAACATTATCGTTGTACCACTCCTCGCTTAACCAGGACACGGCCACCTCGATACGCTTTCGGAAGTCCTCGAGAACATAATTGAAGAGTTGCTCCCGAATAGCATCGCTCAGACGGGTGGTTGTAAGAACCCCTTTAGTATCTTCGTCTTCCTCCGGGATATCAAGTCCCGCATTGGCCCTGGTTGCCAAGCGGGTTATTACTGTGATCCAGGAGTCTCGGTCGTATGAGCTAGCTGCAAGTCTGTTGATGCCAGCCTTGGCCTTCTTGATGGCAGGGTCTTCGAGAGTTCGCATCGTACCAAACACTCTTGTGACTGAACCTTGCCCTACTTTGGTAGCTTGCTCGGGATTTAATGTTGGCGGCGGCGGTAACCGGAAAGTAGGTAATGCAAGACCACCCAATGTCGGCTTCTCTAGCTCATGGCCTTCATCCGCAGGCGAAGAATCAAGTTTGTTTAGAATCTGTTCGGTGTCCTCTGCCGTATAAAAATCGGGCTCATAGTCGTCCTCGTCTTCCTCAACATCAAGCGGTGATGTCTCGGGGTTGACTGGCTGTGGCTGGACTTCGTACAGCGTTGTTAAGCGATCTCGCACACCCTGTATCTTGGTAAGCCATGGTGATAAGGGTGTGTATTACTTTGACATACCTGAATAGCACGATCTAGGAGCTGGGGGTCTATACGGGCGATGGTAGTAACACTGATTCTGGCGGCAATGGGTGCTGGGACATTGTTACTGACGTCGAAGTGCTTCAGACCATCGTTACTAGTGAAGGTGAAGACTTCTGCGAGGGTATGAGGGCCTGGCTTCAGTGGGGTGATTTCGAGTTGCAAATGGGGTGGTGCAGTTCCCGTTCGTTGGCGCTTGGCCTCTACCCCGTTGGCTTGCTCTGCCAGTGCTCTTTTACGACCACCTTCATCAAATATCTCGGCTCGCGAGCGCATAACACGTTCGATATATTGTTGCATACGGCCGACCAGCGGATTCTGCGGGTTCCTAGAATGATATTAGTGATGTGGATAGGTATTGGCCATGTCAACCTCCTACCGTCTGGATAGGTGCATGAGCAACATGCGTGTTGTCTTCTCCATCGATTTTATAAGAACCTTTGTCTTAGGAGTTAAAGGCGAGTTCGCAAGCTTCAGCGGGTTGAAGTTGAGAACAGTGTTCACGATCCTATTCGACGTAGCTGGTCTGTTTCGGACGAGAATAGATAAGGTGTTCAAAGTCGCATCTACAATTAATGCATCACTAAGAAGAATTTGTCAGTTTTTAAATATATGAGCGTGATACTTGATAATCCTACCAGCTATTCTCCTGCAAAATTACAAGCATTCTGTCTAGGAGTCCTGATGCTTCGGCTTCGAGTTTGGGAGCATCAAGAATGGGGTGGCTTGGAGGAATCATGACAAGAGATATATCGAGGAGATCACCACGCTATATAGAATATTAGTACTAGTTGAATAAAACGAACAAGAGATATCCCTACTCTTGGTTCTGGGTTTATGCTCTGCGTTTGCGCAAGTACGACCCGTTGAGCGAACTTGATACAGCAAATTCGGATGGCTAACGGAGCAGTGTCCCATATTCGCAGTATCCTGCTCTTGATAGCAGTCATGCGTTCCCATGTATGCGTGTCGTAGGAGTTGTTAATACTAGGACGATCAAAAAGTCAGCGCTGTGGACTCTAGAGCACGTCATTTGAAGAATGCGGTTCTAGAAAGAGGGCGCATAGGCACGATCTCGGTAGGCATAGCCCGTCGAAGTCTACGAGTTTACAGTGACCAGTTGGGAGAAACCTACATCCATCGTAAGGCCAACGGGTATATACTAGCCGCCGCCTGAATGACGCCTCTCAGAACTATGACATCCTGGTTGACGTCTTCCACTAGTAACTTAAGTGTTTCCAATACTACTAGAGACAGAGTCTCTTTCTGGCCAGGTGCGATAGCGGGTGTCGCAAATGCTTCGGCAAGGAATTCAGCGCCCCATCGTCGGAATTCCACTTGCGCCGAAGGTCCTATGATGGGGAGTGTAGCTTGGATGACTTGGGTGTAATAGTTCGCATTACCTAAAACAAGCTTCCGGGCACCTTCGAGCTGGCGGATCTGGTCTTGAACGGAAAGCTGAGCTGTCGCCATTGCGATTTATTCAGGTAGACCTAACCAGGCCCAAGCTTTTGTACAAGTCGAAAAGGTTGAGATACGGTGCCTTGATAAGAGCATGAATAGTTAAACCGATATCGCTAGTATTTGATATGATCCAAGTTAAAAGAACAAAGACTTGGGTTTGAGTATCGAGAATGTGGGAGTGCGTGAGGGTGTCGATGTTACAAGTTGTATTGTGGCGCGTCGTGTGTGCTCGTGTCTGCCCGGTGATGTCAATTAAAAGATCGCCAGGTAAGTAGCCTGCATCATCATTCATGATACGCCAGCATCAACAATTGAGGACCATGCTTGTAGCTGGAGATGATTTTTAATAGGTTGCGGTTTTAATGATTTGAAAATAAAAGTTAAGAACGTGGGATATCTTTAATGGTGTAAAGAGAATTTAGGAAAGGGCGTGGAGAAAAGAAATTGAACATCTATTAACTGGTCGCGACTGAAGAGAAAGCTGCTTCAGGGCGCCTTCCGCATGTATGTAATTCAGATTGGAGACTTGAAAGAAAGCTTCCAGGTTGGGTCTTCCAAGTCACGCAGGGTTCCTTCTGTTATCCGTGAAAGGTACCCCGATACGTACCTATGTATATATGTACTTCGTACTTTCCGTATATGAGGTAGGTACGTGTGGGTTAGTACTACTTTAGAGTAGTGGCTTCCACTACAGAATGCACAGGAGGCATACATGTACCTTCTGTACCTCGACCTACGCAGTACATAGTACCTGTAAGCTGCAGCACTTAAGCCGCCGCATCGTCAGATCAAGATTTGCTAATACAGCATTTAAAGCATTCTACCTGCAATGCGCCTAACTTCTCAGCCTCGACCTTTTCTCTAATACCGTGTCGCACATAAGAGGAAACACGCCCGCCTGGGCAAAGAAATCATAAAATGGCTGCTGGGTATGTTTATTGGCAAAACGAGACTATGGCATTTACATCTGACAGCCGTGTAGATTCGGAAGCTCCTCGTACTACGATAGACGGTTCAGACAATCCCCCGCCCTCATTCGAGCACGACGACCTTACCTCTTCAAGAATGCCGTTGTTGGGTCTGCCGTAGCGGCGTTTGCAATTGGCGTTTGTGAGTGATTACTCATGGGAGATATTTCCTCAAGGAAGACGGTGCCGATTTGCTGACCTGGTTACTTATAGATGTATACACCATCAGCGTCATCGGACAGGACGAGTTCGAAGATGTAAAGGTCCCTAGCGCCCCGGGTCAACCGGAGAACAAATAAGTACAAGTGGTCTATCGTTAGATATAATGTTATCAAGGAAATAGGAAGGCATAAGAGAAGTTCACGAAATATACGGTTAGTCGGCTTCGGCATCGGCATCGGAGATAATGTCTATGAAGTCGGGACTACGTCTTCCATTTCAAAAAACTATTGTAAATGAATATACACTAGGTGGTATCGCGGCCTATGTCAAGCCTATAAACGAACGACGAGCCCCCTTAAACGCCAGAATATGTGTCTACAGAGACAATCCGAACAACATGTATCATAGAAACCTCCCCATTCTCTACAGTCCTTTTGAAGACGCCACCCGCTAGCAACGCAACATACCACAAACATGATATGGTCACTTCCGTACACCAGTTAGAAGCCTCTATCATAAGCCGTAACGCCAAATGCAAAACATATGCACAGGGTATAACGTCCCTATTTCCTATCTCGCAAGATTATTCAACCCAACGATACACAGTATTGCTGGCTACCCGACTAATTAGTCCCGAATGTGCGCCATGCTCTGCCCACCCGTGAAAATCATTCCTCGATAAATGCGTATCATAAGCTACCTACTGGTTGACTGTTTTCATGTCTCGTAGCTGCTTCTGCTGCTCTCATGCTGCGCGCTTTAGTTTGCTCTAACAAGCTGGCGGCTCGTGTGACTTCAGGTGAGGTGGAAGGCTGTCTCGGTACATTCCTCTGAGTCCTAGGAGGCCCATTGGAGGACTGAGTCGTCGAACCATTGGTAAACGGGTGTGACTGATGGTGTCTCCCGGATCCTGATGATACGCCTAGTATACCACCATGCGCATGAGTTTCGTGTTGGGCCGAGGGCTGTCGTTGGAGAAGATGGGCATTTGATGGATGATTGGGGTTTGCCCATGGCGTCTGTTCGATAAACTGCTCTCCTGCAGGGCCAAGACTTTGGCCGAACGGCAACCCACCGTAATCTACATAAGTAGGCCTATGTGCTTGGTGTCGAAGCGATGGCTGTCGATTCCTCTGATTGCATACGGTCAGTAACGTCATACACTAGAAGTTGTTGGTTTGCGACAGCTTACATTTATCGCTTCGAAATCATCCTCCAGATCTTGCATAGTTGCGCCCCTCATCTCCGGCGCCGCAGGCATACCTTCGTACTTGGCTATGCCTGACAAAATAGCTACCTCTCTATTGTATGCCAGTGCGTTTCTGGTGCGCTGCGTAGGGTCAGGAGGGAATCGGAGGCCGAATTCAGGTACATTGTTGGCTTGCTTGCGGCGCTCGTGCTGGATGTCATACCACTGCTGGCCAAGCTCTGCCAAGATCGTTTCTCTCGACTCTCTAACAGACTGGAAGAACTGAGAATGTATTTGCGATCGCCTAGAGACCGCCCACCTCTCTAGAGACTCTACCTTAAGTTCTAGCTCTCGGTTTGCCACACGAATTCTTTCGTCTCTTCGTGCGTCTATGCATTGCATCATGGCAAGGTACTCGGGGTGCGTTATGGTCTCGGATCGTAGCATTACTTCTTCTTGGTTCAATTGCTCAAGTCGTTCTTCGTATAACCTAAAGCAGTATTAATAGATTGGCATCGTAGTTGTTAGGAAGAAACAAAGCTAACCTGTCTCTAAAAGTTGCGAATCGTTTTTCGATTGCGGTTAACTGATCAAAAGCCGTCTTCTTTCTTTCGACTGGTAAATGTAGGTTAGCACGGGCTCTTAGACATGATCGAAATGATAGTGCCATACGTTCTTCTTCGTTTCTATGGGCTGCTTCTGCTTCCTCGTCTACATCGGCTTCAAGCGGCTCGTCCTCACCAGCGTGAGCACCGTCGTCTTCGGCCACCGGATCACCAACGGCTTCTTCTGGCGGTTCATCGGCCTCAATAGTCTGCTCCGTAGCTTTGAGCTTCTTTGAGCCACTGCGCGTCTGCTTCTTGGGTACGGCCTCTTGGTCTGACTGGGCGCCCTGGGCGTTGTTGGTAGTACGATCTATACTAGCTAGGACGGTGATGGCTTCGTCGGCCGAGGGTTCGCCGCTATTCGTATGTATCGATGGGTCGTCTTCATCAGCCATCGGAGTGTCGCCATCTATGTCCTGCCGATTGGGTGTAGGTACTGAACCAATACGCTTTTGCAGTAGCTGTGAGGGTTCAGAATTTTCAATAGGCATGGAGGCCCGTTTTCGCTTTCTGCTCTCGACTTCTTGTGTAGCAGCTTCGAATAATATATCTAGGGTCGGTGATTGGCGCCTTTTCAGTGTCTTTGTCTCTTGCGCTGGGGGGCTGGAAGCTATTGAGATTTCCTCGAAGAATGGCCCGTCGTCTCCATCTCTACTCTGCCCAGTCCTTGTATTGTGCCGTCGCAGTTTACTCGGGGTACGCTCGTAGACTTGCTCGTCCGCTGACCTTTTTAAAACTACGTCCTTATGACGGGTGGGATTTCGGGGCGTGTCGTAGAGGCGTTCAGTCTCAGCTTCGGTATCGTTTGCGTCGGAAAGGTCGTCTACCGAGCTTGCGTCTTCGTTGCGATTGTTGGGAGTGGCATCATTTAGGCTATGCAAGTCCCCTGGATCACCATCTTTATCTTCGACGTCACTCAGCGGACTTGAGCCATCGTCATCGGAGAGCGGTTCGATCGGCGGGGGTGGAATGGTAAGCGGCGCGGGCGCCGTGTCTCCGGTTGCCATCTTATTGTAATAATTAATATCCTGCCTTCTTTAGCCAAGTATAACTTCCACTGGTATGGAAGATCAAAGGTGGACTTGACGAGAAGGAGAGGGCGCAGTTGTGGTGGTAGAATTGTCGGATGAGTTTTTAGAGCTTGGAAGAATAGAGGCAGAGGTAATGGAAGGAAAGTAAATAATCGGACGGGGGATGAAATATTGAGTAGAAGGTAGAGCTTTTGGAACGACGCCGCGGTCAGGCGATTAAAGGGACATGTATTACGAAACGAGTGTCTATAGATCTGGGTGCTAGGTATCGAGAAAAAAGTGATGTAAAGGTGGTAAAGGTGGTGATCAAATGGGGGAGGGTTCTCTTTGCGCGCAAGCACCGGCCGCTGGCAGCACTGACACCTTAACTGTTACCCCCAAATAACCCCAATCTCTACCTAGGTACGGCATTCTGGCAACCCCGAACAAAACCGCTTATCGATAACACACGCGTGCTAAAATGGTCCGTGACTACAGGTATCTACGTATTTTTATCCGATATCGAATGCCCGACTTTTAGGAGGGATGTGCCCGAGTTTACGAGGGATATTGTCAGACGATCTTTTTGCCTGGCCATTTTTCGAAATAGGAAGTTCGTCCGTGCGCAGCTCCGGGGCGTTTTTATTGGGTGCATCCTCGAATTTTCACGTGCTCTTCCAGATCCCCACTTTTATCTTTTTTTCGAAATACGTATCTTTTTTTTTTTTGCCATAGCCACGGTTACCAAACATGTAGCCACGCATTACATACCTAAAGTAATCCAAGTTTTACAAGAGCCTGGGTTCGAATCCCACATGCTCCTTTTTTTTTTTTATCTTTTTATCTTTCATTTTTTAAAAGAATTTTAGCAAAGCTTAATGTTCGAGGTTGTCAGCCGCTGCTGCCGGGGAAAGGCGCTCGGCGCGCGAAGCGTGCCGAGCGCCTTTCCCCGGCAGCAGCGGCACGTGATTCGTAAACTCGGGCTATTG